ACGTTTTATAAATTAAAGATTAACGTTTTCAACCTCAACAATCGAAGACATAGGCGGAGAGTGTGTGCGCGCGCGTGCACGTGCGTGCGCGCATGTGTAATTTTTTAAATTCTTATGTAATATACATATTATTTTGAGGCAACCAAATTTTTATTAAGTAAAGAGATATTATGTTTATAATGTAAATATCGAGATTCAGACCCACATAAGGTAAGATTATATGAGTATCATTGACTAGTGAACTAATTAATAGATCTCTGATACAACCAAGTTTAATATTTTAATATATATATGAATTTTTTTGAGGGGCACGACCCCACTAGTCTTAAGGGAGTTCCGCCCGGTGTGAGGGTCTCCACTGATATAAGAATCACCTTTATGGTCCTCATCATCTTCGATGTTGTCATCGTCGTCGTATCTACCTGCTTCGTTGTCACCTTCCTCCTGGAATCATTCTCAGATTTTTCCCAATCTCCTTCTCCGGTGCTCCCTCTCATTCGGTGCGGGCTCCATCATCTGATGCCCCAACTCCCTTCAGCAGTGGCTCCATCGTCTGATGCCCCAGCTCGTTCGGCGGCCGCACGGCCCCATATTAAGTTATACTTTAAGAGGCGATGGTTGCTTCTTAGAATTTTAGATGAGGTACGTGAAAAGCTACTTCTAAGAAGCAGAACACATGTTTTGAATTGTCCGAGAATCACGTGGGAGATAGTTGTTCAGAATGGTATATGTGAAAATTTATACTTTGCTCACAGGTCAAAAGAGTATTTATACAAAAGGTCTTCAACTACAAAACTACAACTGAACTGCCTAACAGAATAAAGAGATTAACTAACAAACTATGAACTGACTAACTGAGCTACACTACAGAATAAAAAAACTAACTGAACTAAAAACTATTTCAAAACTACCCCTCAAGTTGGGGTTTAAATATAGCTTTGAGCCTTAACTTAGGTTCTAAAATTCTGTGCTGCTGCACTCCCAGGCCTTTTGGTAAAATATCTGCCAGTTGCTCATTGCTTATCACATGCTCAGTTGAAATCAGACCCTCCTGTATCTTGTCCCTCACAAAAAGCCATGTAAGCATTTTTGTTAATTTTTGTAATGACAGGTAGGTGTTTCCATAATTCGGTTAAACTGAATTAACTGAATGAATTGGAATTTTTTTTCGGTTAATCGGTTGATTAATTTTATATTATGTTGTTAATGGTTAATAGTTTTTTCAAACTTCGGTTATTGATTAATTTGATTCGAAATCGATTAATTGAATTAACCGAAATGATCAAATATTTAATATATTATATATTATTTAGTTTTAGAGGTGTTTACACTTCGGTTTTAACTGAAATAACCGACCAAATTAACTAAAAATATTAAATATTAAATATATATTATTTGTAAATTTCGGTTAATTTAGTTAACTGACTAATTAATCAAACTTAGTTCGATTCGATTAATTTTTTTTGAAAATAATTCGGTTCGATTAACGGTTAAATGAAAGAATTTGATTAATAAATTTTGGGTAGTTCAGTTCGGTCAACTAACCGAAATAATCGACTGAACACCCCTAATGATAAGGAATCAAATTGAAACCTAAACTAAACGTTAGATATGATTTTGAAAGAAAAAAAAATAAAGTTTTGGTACCAAAACAAAACAAAAATAATAATTTAGATACTAAATATGTAGTTTATCATATATTTTTAAACCATCAATATAAACTAATTTATGTTTAAAGTTAAAAAATATATTTTAAATTTTATCAAAATTTCAAGATATTTACAGCAAAAACAGGGAAATATTTTATCCTACTACCATATATTTTAATTTTAATTGTTCAAAAGTTATTTTAAAATTTCCAATCAAACACATTAGAGATATGATTTATTTTTCCATAGAATTTAAACACACAAAACCACACTTCTTGAGCTGCCTTTTTCACTTTTCAATAAAAATTTGTTGTATATATGTAAAAGGAGTCCTCACACTTTCAAATCATACAATGCAGTCACTTTATCAAACTAAACCCAGAAAATCAACGTGGCTTGTGTTTCAAAGTTCAAACCATATGTATATTCTGGAGAAAATGGAATCTCAGATCTAAATGTTCTCTCTTCCATCACGGAAAGGCTTCGATGGTCATCTTTTAAATTATTATGGCCATCTTTTAAATTGTCGATGGTCAATAATGTACAATCAACATATCGCAACACACTTATAACGTGGGCGAAAGAAAACGATTAAAATGATAACACGTCGTATTACATAAGAAAAAATATACTAAAAATTGAATCTATAATCAACATCATTGTTTTTGCTCTACGGATTAAAGCACTCGGCTCGGTTATATCTTTAAGCAAAAGCTGCAAACACACTCTAATCCATTGCTCGACCCACATCGAAATCATCGGATTACGAAGAGAAGCAAAGGGTTTGGTCAAATAGGTTTATAACATCTCGTGTCAAATAGTATCCGCATAGAATCGTTTCGGTTAAACAAAATCAGCACCGTTTCCATGGCGACTCTCCCCATTACCTTCACTGAATTTGGACTTTGGTAAAGAGGAGGAAACTTTAAGAGGCGCTGGTTGCTTCTTAGCATTTAAGTTGAGGTATGTGAAAAGGGACATGCCTCCGATAGCTGTAAACGCTCCACACATACTGGTTGTGCCTGGATTCGAACTGAAGAGGTAGTAACTTCCGAGAAGCAGAACACAGGTTTTGAATTGTCCGAGAACCACGTGGGAGATAGCAGAGGTTGCCCTGAAAGTTGATAGAAGGAGAATCAGGAACTGTACCATATTGGCCAGGCAGGACAAGCATACAAAAAGCGGAGAAAAGATGTATTACCCAAGTGCAAAGCTCCCGACCACTGAAGCAAGAAGCCGAGAAAAGCTGATAAGAGGATTGCCGATGTATTGTTGAAGCTCCAATGGAAGGCGAGCACACCCGGGGATCAAGGAAAGGAATCATAGAAACCAGAAAAAGCAGAGTGATTGGTGTTGTTTTCCACATTAACCTGGACAAGCATACAAAAAGCGGAGAAAAGATGTATTACCCAAGTGCAAAGCTCCCGACCACTGAAGCAAGAAGCCGAGAAAAGCTGATAAGAGGATTGCCGATGTATTGTTGAAGCTCCAATGGAAGGCGAGCACACCCGGGGGATCAAGGAAAGGAATCATAGAAGCCAGAAAAAGCAGAGTGACTGGTGTTGTTTTCCACATTAACCTGGACAAGCATACAAAAAGCGGAGAAAAGATGTATTACCCAAGTGCAAAGCTCCCGACCACTGAAGCAAGAAGCCGAGAAAAGCTGATAAGAGGATTGCCGATGTATTGTTGAAGCTCCAATGGAAGGCGAGCACACCCGGGGGATCAAGGAAAGGAATCATAGAAACCAGAAAAAGAAGAGTGATTGGTGTTGTTTTCCACATTAACCTGTTCAACAAATTCATAACTTCAGCAAACACCGAATTGAAAAGTTTTACAAGATTAACACAAGGAGAAGAGAAGCTTGTTCGGACATCAAAAGAAAAGAAAGGAAAAGATAAGCCCAGGGGAAGCAATGAATCCATTTTCTATTGCTAATTAAGGAAAAAAATAGAAAAGAATGATGGATAATAAAGAATCGAATTTCAGAATCTATTCTCTTGATTTCCTTAGGCTAAGCTTATCCTTAAAATTCCTTTCCATCAAGAAGTCGCAAGTAAAAACTGTAAGTGTGCTCAAAGGAGCTTGTAACATACGACAATGCTGTCCAATTATCTTCTTGCTGCAAGTTGGACCAAAGGATTTTATTGATGGCACTAGGGATAATCCATGCCATCGCCACACATGCTCCAAAGAGGCTGAACTGTAGATCAGTTACCGTAGCAATCGCAACACCAATAGATACAACCGTGAGCGCAATCACCTGACTACATGGGAAGAATTTCAAGAAAATTGGGACAAATACAAGCTACAGAGTTCAGTAGAAAAATAACAAGGACATATCATAATATACATTAAATCTCAGGCGATGTTGCAGACAGATAAATTCAAGAGTTTTGAAGCGCTCAAAACCCTTAAACATTTATGAGGGTCAGATATTGTGCATGGAGTTAGTAGTCCATAAAGGTACGAGGGAGTGAATAAGAACTCATTTTCAAGGTACTTGACAATGTTTATAAAAAAAATCCATTTGATGATGGGTACATACCTTCCAATTTTTGGGAAACATTATCCTATCAACATGGTGCATAACAATGTCTGGATGGAAAATGATAGCACCCTATTTCTTCATCTAGAGAAAGATCTAAAGTTTATTTAAGCTTCATACTAAGAACTTTCTCATTTTATTGTTTCCATCGTTACACCTACGACCAGTGAACTTTATATGACAACATATGTTTTCCAAATTCACATAAAATAGAAATGAACAAGTTACCTTGGAGAAAGTGACTCTCTTCTGATACCATACAAATTCTGCGAGGACAATAGATGGCGTGACAGCAATCTTAGCCATCTGATAAAGTCCTACACTGGAAAAACAAATTCATTAACAATTAAGTCAAAAGGTCCTCCGAGAGAGTTGGTTAATTATTGTTTAAAGAGAAATAAAATATCTAACCTGTTGTATTTCAAGCTGACATTTGCAAAACCAGTAGATAAAGACATAACAATACCAAGAGTAAACAAAGACAAAGAGGTTGATATTGTGGGTGGAGATGCTGGGAGGAGGGAAAAAGAATGCAAGATGGCCATCAACACCCAACTGACAGCATAGTGAATAAAAGTCAGAAATACCGGAAACTCGAATCCTACATTTTTAAGTACCTGAAAACTATGTTGCACGGGGACGGCAGAGAAAGGGCGTTTCAAGTATCCGAAACGTCCCTGGCACGGGGACGGTACGGGGACGGCCGGGGTACGTACCGGGGACGTGCCACGGTGGCAGGGTACGGCCAAACTATGCGGGGACGTTTCGGTGCTCGTGGAGGACGTTTTGGGGACGGCCTTCAGAAAATCTCGAACATGTCGATCGAGAGAACGGTGATCGCCGTCATTAGAGCGGCAAGACCTTCTTTTAGGAACGACCACGACAAGGTCGCGTTCGCCGTTCACGCGACGTTTCTTTTGGCCGGTTTCGTCCTCACCGCCACTGGGCCTGCTGCTTTGGGCGACAACGTTTTCTCTTATACCTCTACTAGTATTCGCTTTTCTTCTCTTTTTAATTTGATTGCTACTGTTACTTTTTCAATTCGCATTTTTGGTTTTTAGACGAGGTAGGAAATGATAATAGGAACGAATTCGAAGACTATTACGTGTTTTTCTATACCAATCCCGAGAAAGGATCGAAGAAAGTTTTGGTAAAATGTCTGGTTATGAATAGAAAATTACTTGTCGATACTTTGGCTGAGAACAGTTCTTAACCCCTTCATCTTGAAATCGAGTAACTATCTTCTCTTTTGCTCTCTTTTTTATTCAATTTTTGTGGTTTAAATCAATGTATTTTGGAGTTTCATTGACTGTTGCAGTATTGATGACTATGTTAAAGAGAACACAAGTGGAAATTACTCTGCCTTGTACAAGAATTTAGAGAAATTAGTGAATGGTTTGGAAAAAGAAGTAATATCCAAGTTAAACTGCTCAGCAGTTGACCCTCCAAGGTAATTAAGCAAATTTAGCCTTTGCCGTTATTGATGTCGAGCAATTCTTAGCTGTAGTTTTAGCATCTGTAGTACTCTACAAATGGATGTTTTATATGCTTTAGGGATGATTGGAAGTTTTTAGGGTTAAGGATGATAAATGGGAATAATTTTCTTTTATTTACCTACTCTTTTATTTGTGGGTGTGGTTTGTAGTTCAGCAAAAGGTCAAGGATCGAGGCCCAATCATCCTGGTGTTACAATTAATGAACCAAGAAGCCCTCAAATCGATCCTCCAGGGTATCTCTTGTTTTCTCCTTTGCGATTTTGGATTTAATCCATTTCGTCAATGATTATTTATACCCTTCACATACTTCATTGATAACTTTACAATCATGTAATGGGTAAATTGTGATTGATGCTACAGATCATGACTCCTTTACGTTATTTATTTATAAAAAGCTTCATTAGTGAGGTTAAACTTCCATGACTATGGTATGATGATGCATGTTTTCTGTCTATCAACTAGTGGTATAGGTTTTTTGATTATGCTCTGATATAATATTATATGAAACCTAACTATGTGTTATAGACTTCTGAAGTTCGGAGCATGTTCAAATCGTATCCAAGGAAAATAAAGAATAAATGGGAAAAAATTAGTTATAGACTGATAGTTTTGTGTTTCTTTAATTTCTTTAATGAAACCTTTCCATTAACTTCCTAACAGTGGCTCGTATAATCATCAAAATTATAAAACTTCCTTTACAAGGTTGTTGGGCCACATGTTTTAACTCAATATTGTGGTTTGAGTCTTGATATTTGACTTTATTTATGATTTTTTATATATATTTATAATTTTAAAATTATTTTATATACCGTGCTCTTGTCGTCCCCGTACCCTGTAATTTTAAAAATTGTCGTTTCTCGTCCCCGTCCCCGTATCCGTATCAGTGCAACATAGCCTGAAAACACAAAACAAGTATATCAACCATATATGATAATTCTGTTAAAGCTAAAAACCAAGATCTTGAAAATTAGTTGTTTTATATGTGAGAAAATTTGGCATACAAACCCATTTGTTTATGAAAATAATGCCAACAGCAACCATAAAGTTGAATGTAAGAGCAGCAACTGGACCACAAGTTCGTTGATGCTTTGCACTGTCAACTGAGTAGAATTTGTTAAAGAGTGAAGCTCGAAGGTCCTCAAGGGCTTTCCCTGAATTTGTGAGTATTTTTCAATTTCAATATTTCAAAATAATAAAAGTTGAATAATTGGTAAACAATCAAAGTGAGTTATCATGCGCAAACAAAGATTTATGAAATGCACGTCTACTAGATATATGAATTTGCTAGTTTAGGATACAGAAGCACCACTGAGGTGCATCTGTTGAGTAATTTGCTATGTGTTGACTACATAATACTGGAATTGCCAGTAGTTTCCGGTTACTCTTGATACTATAGTGTCAGATAGAGGCATATCTTTTTTGCTAACAACCATGAAAGTACGAGAGAGAAAGAACCCCATTTTGAGCTAATTTCTAATTTCTACTAACACGATCTCTAAAAAGAACATTATTGCTTCAAAGAAAAGTTCAAAACATCTACTTAATATTGAAATGCATATCAGAGGCATTCAAATTTTCTTTCCAAAGAAATGCAAGCGAAACATAGCTTACAAAAATGGAGTCTTGAAATTGGTACAATGTTAAAAAATTGCAAAAATAGAACTTATTTCTAGAGAAAAATCCTAAACTTTAAACTCCCAAGATCGCAAAATACCCATTACTGAAAACCCAAAAAATTGAGGACGAGCACTACAACAAATTAAAATGAGTAATCGAGAAAATGAGTGGGAAAAAAAAACTCATTTTTGTTTACCTCTTTCGCCAGCATCGCTGTCTTTCCGCTTCAGTATCTTCCTCACATCTTTCCTCACTAAAAACTTGAAAATCTCACGGCTACAAAGCATCTTGTTTTCCTCTTTCAGCTTGCTGGGTTTTCTACACCTCCATCACCACTACCACTTTAGTAGAGTGCTTTCGGTGATTTTCCCAAAAATTACCCGAGGGGCCTTTATTTTTCTGTTAGTCATTATATTTCATAATCTAACATCGCTCTATGTAACATGTCGTCTCATGCAACCCGTAAAAAATTTGGATATTAATTTTGTAAGTATTTTTAAATTGGTATCAAATATATAATTAATTACTGTTAAGATGATATTTGTGTAAAAATATTAATTTTATCTATTTATTTTTTATGAAATTATTTTTAACAACAGTTAATAATGTTTATTGATTTTTAAAATTAATTGTTTAAAAATATTAAAATAAAATTTTAATTACAATTGAGATATCAAATGAATTATTATTCATTTTTTTAAAAAATAAATAAATATATAATAAAAATGAATTAAAAATAAATAAAATTAAATAAAAAATATAATGTAAAGCTAAAAAATATCACCTCTTTATTTAAAATATTTTTTCTAATATTAATTTAAAAAAAATATTAAATAAAAATTAAATTTTAATTTTATTAAAAAAATGAATAAATATTATTAAATGTTGTTAAAAAATAATAATTAATGAATAATAATTCATTGATCCCTCAATTATAATTAAAAGTTTATTTTAATATTTTTTTTATATTTTTAAACAATTAATTTTAAAATACTTTATTCTCAAGACCTAAAATCAAGTTTATGATTGTTAAACAGTCGTAGGTATGAAAAACTACAGGAATCGAATGAAAATTCGATCATACAAAGTCAATAACTCAAAATTGTCTAACTGCTGTCTAAATATCAACTCAATTGTACCATGAATAAACATCCGATCAAAGAGTTTATCTTTTCTGCTCAATCTTCACAAAAAACTGTTTTGTCTCATCATTTTCTCCCGCTTATGAACTCATTTCTTTTTATAACATTCATGCAAAAGAATATACGTATTGTGTAATTTTATGCAAAAATTAAAATTTGTCGAGTTATAAAATAATTTGTAAAAGAATATTTAAAAGTATTTTAAAATATGAATAATTTTATAAAAATTTTATAACTAGTATTTTCTTTTACAAAATGATGATGATGATAATAAATATTTTATAATTTAAAAAATTATAAATTTCATATATTTTTTAAAAAATTATTGACCTTTAAATTAATTGTTTAAAGATATAAAAAAAAATTAAAATAAATTTTTAATTACAATTGACTTTTATAATAAAGTCACTTTACTTTTGATTTTTCTGTGTGCACGTGAGCAATTATATTTAACAGAAAAGAATTGAAAAAGAAAGGAGTTCATACGTGGAAGAAAATTAAATTGATATTTAGACAGCAATTAAACAATTTTGAGTTATTGACTTTGTACGATCGGATTTTCATTCGATTCCTATAGTTTTCTACACCCACGACTGTTTAACAATCATAAACTTGACTAAAATAAACTTTTAATTACAATTAAGAGATCAAATAAATTATTATTCATTAATTATTATTTTTTAATAACAATTAATAATGTTTATTCATTTTTGATAAAATTAAATTTTAATATTTATTTAATATTTTTTAAAATTAATATTAGAAATAATATTTTAAATAAAGAGGTGATATTTTTTAGCATTACATTATATTTTTATTGAATTTTATTGAATTTTAATTATTTTTTAATTGTATTTTAATTGTATTTAAAAAAAACAATTCATTTGATTTCTCAATTATAATTAAAAATTTATTTTAATATTTTTTATTTTTAAGCAATTAATTTTAGAATTTAATAAACATTATAAAAAAATAATATCATAAAAAATAAATAGATAAAGTTGATGTTTTTACACAAATATCACTCTAATAGAAATTAATTATATATTTGACATCAGTTTAAAAATATTTACAAAATTAATACTTAAATTTTTTACACGTTTAAAAAAACGTGTTGCAGGAGACGTCTTACCCCACGTGACGTAGAACACGATGTAGGTGCTGCACCTTCTTATAAAAAATGTTAAATCAAAAAATATAATCTAAATTATACCTGACAGATAAATAAAGATTCCTAGAATGATTTTTCGAAAAAATCACCAGCGCTTTTTGCTTTTGATTCATTTTATTTTTTAGTATAAATATTCAATTTTTATGTGAGAAAATAGAGAAGCCACGTGGCGGTGTTAGCGGAACCCAAAAACTATGGAAAGTGAGAGAAAATCAAGGTTTCGCAGTTTAAATATTTACCGACCGACACCTGAAGAACTGGGAAACAAAAGAAAGTTTGTGGCTTTGTGCTTTGCTTGTGAGACTACGTTTCCTTTGGCGTCAATCACTCACTCGCTTAAAGAATTGTTGATTGAATTCTGCATTTTATATTAATACTATATGTTTGTTTGAGTTTGATTTCCATTGCAAATATAACTCTTATTTTTTTATCTTTATCTATTTAGATTTATTCAATTACTTTTAAGATTATTATATTGTTTTTTGTTATTAATATATTTAATAAGAATTGTATTTGATGTACGAATAATATATAATTTTATCTACCTTCAGTTTATCGTTGAAAAATTAAATAAATTCAATTTTATAGTTTTATAGTAATGTGTTTTTTTATTTATATATTATAAGTATATCAAATATAATTCTGTTTAATATACTTTTTAAAAAATAATATATACTTTTATTTTTATACTATAATAATACTATATATTTAATATTAATGTGATGTAAATTATATAAATATAATAAACCAAAATAAATCAATACCTTTTATTTATATAAAAAATTTCTAAATATTTAATTTTATATATTTCATACTCAGTTACCTCTTTTGCATCAGATTCTTATCAATTGATCGTTTCTATTACTGTCACTGTCGCATGTCATTCATCGAAATCATATATTATCGCATATCGTCTTTAAACCTTACTGCATGAACACATTTTTTTCATCCTATTATCGTTTGTCTATCATTGTCGGTGAGTTTACACCGTCGTTTAAGTCTATTACAACGTACAAAAGCGAATATAAGATTTTATATTAGGTGATAAATTTTTAAAATTAAAAAAAATAATGATCTTATAAAATTTTAAGAGACGAAAATAAAATTTTAATATAAAATATATAAAAAAATCTAAAATATTTAATAATTTAAAATTTTTAAAGAATGCGATTGCCCTCATCTACCTCTCAATTGATTAATAAAGTACAAGGACGAATGTAAAAATATTCCAAAAATATTCGCAAACGCGATGATAAAGCTATAAGCGGCCCTCAAGTTAACGACAAATGGACGGAAAAGCATAACAAGCTGCAGTACTAGCGGGTCCACTCATTCTAAAATTATTAGTAACAGAGAGCCCAGTAGAAATTGAGGAGAGCAGAGCACAGGAGAAAGAACCAACTCCACTGATTTCAGATCAGAAAAAAAGTCCGTTTCTCATGAGCAAATTCCATTTAATCTGAGTTGCATGGAGTTAACTCGCTGTACTTCCTGCTTGCAATATCCACCCGCCCTCGTCCCTCCAGCATTGCGCCACCAAACCACTCCGAAGCCCAACTTGAGAACAACCCCCAGCACCAATGCAACCGTATCAACGACTAGAATGGTGGTTAAAGCACGCGGAGGAGGAGGAGGAGGAGCGGATGAGGCCGAAACTGCAGTGATTGAGAAGCCCAAGGTGAGTAAGAGATTTCAGGTGTCGGAGGGCCATCCCGCTCCATTTGGTGCCACTCTTCGAGACGGTGGTGTCAATTTTGCGATATATTCGGCCAATGCTGTTTCCGCAACTCTCTGTCTGATTGCTCTATCGGATTTGCACCAGGTTGGTCAATTATTGATGTTACAGTACATTCTGCTATGTATATGTTCAGTAATCATTTCGATAAACTTTGAAACTTTTGGGTGGCTCCTTTGATCGTTGAACCGTAACCAAGCAGTTAAAATGTGATAGTTTTTTTCCAACATGGTTGTGCCGTATCTTTCATTTTGATTCTCATCAAACTTGAAGTTTTTAATTGTTTAGCCATGGTATTTACTTGTCTATACATATCTATTGTTTTCTTCTGCACGAAGAAAAGCTAGCAGTAAAAGTAACAACCAAAAGGAGCCTTATTAACTTTTTGCGGTTGGTCAAGTTTATGGGTTGTTTCATTTTAGAATTAGCCGCTAAAAGAATTGGCTGTTTTGTAGAGTTTCAAATTTTGATAGAATAATCTTTGTTTTTGGTGATTAATTTGGATAAAGTGGCTATTTTCGCATCCAGAATAAAGTTACTGAGAAGATACCACTTGATCCATTGAGTAATAAGACTGGAGATGTCTGGCATGTATTTTTGAAAGGGGATTTTGAAGATACGCTATATGGCTACATGTTTGACGGGGAGTTTTCTCCTGAAAAAGGTCATTTCTATGATGCTTCCAAGGTTCTGTTGGATCCATATGCAAAGGTAACATAGGGCCTTTTACTTAAGTTCTATTAGAGAAGACTTCTTTCTATACTGACCAAGCTTCCATTATTTTTTTCCTTGTGAAATGGACCTCTGATTTACTTGCCCCTTTTCTAGGCGGTAATAAGCAGAGGGGAGTTTGGGGCTTTAGGGCCTGAAGATAATTGTTGGCCCCAAATGGCCGGCATGGTGCCTACTTTTGAAGATCAGGTACTTAATCTGAATGTGTTCCTATACTTCAGTGAATGCTGTTTGCTGATGTGAAGGAAAATACAGAAATGTGTTATGATAGTGAACTTCTGGAGAGGGGAATGTACTATCAAAGTTTCCATTGTTATTTCATTGTTCTCTATTTATGACAAAAGTTTGTGTAGTGAAGCATGGTTTGCTCTGTTTGTGAGGTTTCCCTTTGGAAATTGAATCCTTCCTTTGTAGGTTTACTTCAAAATACTGGAGGAGAAAATGAAAACTTTTGAAGGGAAATTAAATAAGTAAATAGTGATACTTGATAAATCTCCAAATTGCCTATTTCATCTCAATTGCTTCACCTAGGAGGATTTCTTTTTGTAAATGTGGATATGTTCCATTCCTTTTCTCTTTTGCTCACTAATATCTAGATTTCTTAGTAAGAAGCCCCACTTTAAAGATAAGAGAGGGGAAGAACAATCTTTTAGAAAATGAGATTCCATTGTATTGAGAACAAATACATGTTTAGTTTGATTATAAAGAGAGACATTTTTACAGAATTCTGTCTTCTTCCAGGAAGTATGTAGGTAGCAAAGTGTGTTTTTTCTACAGTTTAAGCTTGAGCTCATAATGTAAGATGTTTTCTAAAACATCATGATAGTAATTGTGGCTAATTTAGACTTTCTTAGTTTACGCTGATACTCCAAAATAGTTGAACACTCCTATAGGCTATAAAATGCTCTATTTGATTGTCAATAAAACACAAGTGGAATGTCTAAGAGTACTTTGTATGGTATTAATTTGGAAGATGATACTTTAAAAGATTGGGCAAAGGAAGTAGGCTGTGGAGAGGGGTCTTTTCCAATGACTTATCTTGGTTTACCGCTTGGTTCAAAGAAGAATTCAGAGGTTATGTGGGAACCGGTAATACATAATTTTTACAATAGATTAGCAGGATGGAAAGCTACTTCTTTGTCGATGGCTTGAAGACTTGTGCTGGTTAAGTCAGTGTTGTCGTCTTTGCCAATTTTCTACCTCTCTATGTTCAAAATACCTCTAAAGGTTACGCAGAAGTTGAATTCGTTGATGGGTAAATTTCTTTGGGGGAGAAGATCAAGCTAAGAAACGGATTCACTGGGTGAACTGGAAAACGGTTTGTCAACCTTTTGAAGAGGGTGGGTTGGGTATCGTTGATCTGAGTTTGATTAATAGAGTATTGATTGGGAAATGGGTGTGGAAATTCGCAAATGAAAAAAGCAGTCAATGGAAAAAGATGATTTGTTGTAAGAATAACGTTAGCAATTTGTCTCTCTCAATAACAAAGGTTGTTTCTCCCTTAGATTCATGGATATGGAGAGGTATTCTGAACAACTATGTGAAAAATGATAAGATAGGAGATTGCTTGAGAGCTAATTCAAAGATACAAGTGGGAAATGGTAGGTCGATAGCATTTTGGAATGATGTTTGGGTTAATAATTCGACCTTAAAATCCCAATTCCCCAGAATTTTTGCTTTATCGAATAATAAATAGGGGAATGTAGCTGAGTTTGGTGGTTTTGTTCAGAATGTATGGGTTTGGAATATTCAATTACGAAGGAATTTATATGACTGGGAATTGGATCAGTGGCTTGCTTTAATGTCCTTGATCGATAATATAGTTCTGTCTGATTTAGTGGATGACTTTCTTGGGTGGTCGGGGAAGGGGGATGGCTTGTTCTCGGTCAAGTCTTGTAGATTGACGTTATCCTGCAGTTTTGAAGATAGTTTTGAGTGGAATAAGTGGGTATGGTCTGGTTTGGCTCCTCCTAGAGTAGAAACTTTCTTATGGCAACTTTCACACCATAAATTGGCAGTTTGAGTGAAGTTGAAGAAGAGAGGGATTCCCTTGCATGATGTCCTTTGTCCTTTATGTCATACTCATGAAGAAACAATAGAACATTTATTCTTGGATTGCTCTGTTGCAGGGGAGTTATGGATTAAATTCCTAAGGGTATGGGATATTTCTATTGTTTTGCCTCAAGACCCCATATCAATTCTAAGTTCATGGTCGTACCTAAGGCAGAATTCATGTATTTGGAAGTTTATCCGGGGGTTGTTTTCTGGTCAGTTTGGAAGGTCAGGAATATGATAGTGTTTGAAAATTGGAAGTTTGACAGTTCTTCTCTATTATTCTTCGCTAGATTTAGGTTGGCTAAATGGTATTTTGCTAAATACCCATCTGTGAGTGTTCTCTCTAATCTACTAGTAGGGGATCCAACGCTTGCAGATAAAATTCATAATTCTTCGAACACAATCAAGGCGTAATGGGATAGGAGGTATTCTGAAAGATTCCAATTGCTCTACTTTAGCCACTTTCTCCTATGCTGTAGGGCCAGGTCCTCCTACTTTGGCAGAGTTGAAAGCTATTAAGGAAGAAATTGATTTTTTCTTTACTTCGGACTAGGCTATGAAGGGGAGACTTATTATAGAGAGTGATTGTAAATCTGTAGTGGATTGGATTTCTAAGCTGCACCTTGCCCCTACATTTTACAGTTCTCTGGTGGAGGAAATTGGGGCATTAATTTCTGCTATGGATATTTTTCTTAGATTGATTCCTAGGAGTTGTAATATGGAGGCTGACAAGCTAGCTAAGGAGGGGATTGATTGATTGTTACAGGCCTGTTGTAGTAAGGTTTTGTGTTATTTTTTGGGCTTTGTTTCGGCTTAAAGTCTTTATTGGTGTTGTTAGTTTGGTTATCAGTTCAGGTCAGCCACATTAGAGGTTGTTGTCTTAGCTAAGATAGATTAGGTTGTGATTCTCTGGATGTATCTTATGTATTTTTTATGCTGAATGAAATCTAAGGGCACTCTTTTCCTCATTCCACTGATTAATGAGCTTCCCTACAAGCTCCTTTAATCGATAAGGGGTTTTTTAGTGTAGTGAGAGAAGCTCCACCTTCTCTATAAAAATCAGGCGTTTTCAAAAAAAATCTTTCTTTATCCCTTTTCATATCTCTTAGATGGCAAGTAAGGTGAGAAGATCTGTTGGGAAAAATTGCGTTACAGTGATCATTTTCAATATTCCAGAGTGTCTTCATCATCATGGTCTTTGGTTATTATTCGATAAATATGGCGAGGTGGTTGATTATTTCATCCCTAAAAAAAGAAGCAAGGAAAGAAGTAGGTTTGGCTTTGTTCGCTTCACCAGATTGGAGGACGCGAGGAAGGCTATCAACTGTGCTGATAGATCTTGGATTCAAGGTTTTAAAGTTAGAGTTTTCATGGCGAGATTTCAACCTTGTGAAGAATTATGGAGAAAGAAGTTTTCTGGTTCAAAACCAGCCGAGACCAAGAGTAAAGTGGAGGATGATACTCATTCAGAGGCTCCCATTGCCGGTGTTGTTAACGAGGATAAGCTCTTAACTCTCAGAAATAGCTTGGTATGTTGGTGCAGAAAATTTTTAAAAATGAAAGAGTTGACTGCTCTTTTGCACAAGGAAGGCATATTATGTCCGAAAATTATGAGGTTAAGTGGTTTAGCAATTTTAATCTTTTTTGAAGATGAAGAGAGTAGGGATTATGCTCTTAATAATCAGATTGGGGAGTTGAAAAACTACTTTGACAAAGTGGAAGTGTGGTCGGAAAATTTTCAGTGCAACAGCCGTCGGGCATGGCTATCGTGCAAAGGGATCCCACCGTTTGTGTGGAGTCATTCCACCTTCAGAAACATTGCAGACAAATGGGGAGATCTTATCTCCATTGAGCAAGGGACCTTAAATCCCGGCTCGTTTGATAGGGCATTGTTTCAGATAACTACGAACTGCCAAGCTCGTGTGGAAGACTATTTAGATTTGAAAGTCGGGGATCGGATCTATACAATATATGTTTATGAGTTTGAACCTTGTTTCAGCCCAGAATTTGTCTGGGTAGATTCGTCCTTGATGAAAAAGGCAGTTGCCTACCCGTTATCCACGGTGGGGGAACTCGTTGGTGACTCGCCAGTAAAGCTTGCTGAGATGGAGGAATGTGCTGAGGAAGCAAGAAGAAGCGTGGACTCATCGGAGGAGAAGAATTTCGAGCGGTGTTCTGAGGAAGAAGACAATCTATTATGTTGTATAGGGAACAAAACTAGAGGAACCAACTTGTCGGGTGAGGATGAGGAGGAAAGGAACATAGGGGAGGAATTAATTATGGGACTGAGGAATATTGTTGTTGGTCAGGGGATGGTACAAACGAAAATTGAGGAAGTAGTGGAACACGAGAAAGTGCTGGATCACACAGAGAGAGAGGCAAAAAATGACAAAAGGAAAAGTTGTGAGACTGCACGTGCTTATGAGGGAATGAAGGATTATTTAATAGATTTCCCCATGTTGGATGGTCGGGTAGAGTCAAAGGTGGTGGAGGATGTGATTAATGTGGGCCTTTTAAATAATTGTGCATTCAAAAGATCCAAGGGTGAGGCCGGGCAGAACCGGAAAGCAAAGGAGGGGAAAAACAATAATTACAGCTCTCTCCAAATATTTCAAGGAAAATATTCGGCTCCCCAATGGACGTCTAGAGACTGCCGCAACAAGATTAATCAGAGTAAGGTGCAACGTGAGGAAGATTTGTCTGAACTTGAAGGTAGAATCCTATATGATTTTGACTTTCAAGCAAGGTGGCACAGACAAAAGAAGGAAGCGAAAGAATCCTTACAGATCGGGAAAGAATTGGATATAGAGTCTAAAGGCTCACGAGTGTTTTTGATTTCGGAACATTATAGCAGTGGAAGTATTGAAAGATGCAATATGTAGTGAATAGTTTTCGGGGACTCGAATATGATTTTTGATTTTGGAGTTGGAGGTTCGGATGATCTCCGTTGTCAAGTCGAGTAATTAGTGGCAGAATGGCGGATAGAGTTTTTTCGAAGTTTGTTTTGTTCAACTCTTATCTTGTGGAAGCTGATGGCTTTAGTGTTTGAATTTGGCTTCTATGGTTTGTGTCAGCTGATATATTTGGCTTCTATTATTGTTGTATTGTGTTGTGCTGTATTTCGGGCCAAGTTCTGGTTAGTCATATTGGAGTTGTTGTTGTAGCTGTGATGATTAGGCAGTTAGTGTTGTTGTTGAGGGTTGTATTCGGTTGTTTTTGGTTTTTTGTCTATGTTGGGGGTGGCTCTCTGTTTGTATCTTATGTAATTTCTTATGTTTAATGAAATCTTAAGGTACTCTTTTCCTCCTTGTGCGGATTAAGGAGCTATTTTTAAGTTCCGTTAATCACGAAGGGGGTTTTATTGAGGCCTTCTATTCCTATCAAAAAAAAAATTTATATACTGATTTGTAAAAACATATTACTTCATCATATATGAAAAAGATTATCGAAAAAATAGAATGCTATGAAATGAAAAAATATAATTGCAAACTATTGTTGTTCTTTATAAAATATGTATAGTTATTTGAACTCTATCATGGGTTTTAAATGCTGAACTGTATTATTCCTCCATTCCTCACTAAGGGATACTGTTTGGTATTTCTGCAGTTTTAACATTTTATTTCCTTGACTTCGTGTATTTGGTTATTTGATGTTTCCAGTTTGACTGGGAAGGTGATTTACCTCTGAGGTATCCACAAAGAGATCTCATAATTTATGAAATGCATGTGCGTGGATATACAAGGCATGAATCTAGTGGGATACAATTTCCTGGTACTTACCGTGGTGTGGTGGAGAAGCTTGACCACTTGAAGGTAGAGCTTATAACATTGTATAGAAAAATTTGTGGTGTTTTCTCTGATAGATTTTCGTTTTTCACTATAATCTGCCACTGTCTTTGTGGTAAAAATAGCCTTTTGCGCTTTACTGGCGACTAAGTATATTCTTTGCTTAATGGCTGCTTGAAGGACCAAGGAGTCGTATCTAATCAGGAAAAAAACCCACGTGAAGGTAGGGATATTTTTTGGTAAAAGAAAAGAGGGCTAAGCCCTAATTACATATAACTGTTTCTAGAAACAGACAGAAAATGTTTATCATCAAGATATTTTTTCTGAATCGCTTGGGGAGGAGTGGTAAATCTTCTAAGCTGCATCTGGTTTGCTGGAGTAGTCATGGCCAGGTTATCAGCAACATGATTGGCCTCCCAAAACATGTGAACAAACTCAACTTGGCCTCCCTAAAGACGTGAACAAAGTTAGAAATTTTGATTGATCATCACAGATAGTTGTTACTTTCAGTAGGAAAACTTCCGATTACTGCTTTGCTATTAACACTAAAATTCATATGATTGCTGATACTGCTGAAGATAAACAGTTTAGGTTCATTGATTGATTGCAGCGTCCCTCTGCCTTAATTTTTTTTCTTTTTCTTTATAACATACACAAATATTTTTAAATGATATATGTGTGTGCTTGTGTGCGCACTTGCACACGTGTATTGGGGGAGGCTTTTGACCTGAAATACCCGAGGTTGAGATGCATGGTTTCAGTTTATCCAGATATGAGATTGACACTGATATTAAAATTTTAGCTAAAACATATTAGAATATAAAAAAACTAAAAGATAAATAGCAACATATGCCACCCTTGAATTGTTTAAATACTAGGAACATCTTAACCTAGAACAAATTGTGAATTGAAACTTAACGTGAGATGAAGTTTAAGTAATGAAACCTAAGTTAATCTGGTCTAGAAAGTATTTGGATTCAAAATGACCTGGGGCATGAAGTAACCTAAACTCAAAGTCGCTGAAGTTAAAAAACTTGATAGATGAAACAACATGAGCAAACTGAATCAACCAGAACTTCATAACTTGAGAAAACCTGTACTTGCACGAAGCAAAGCTGAATTGACTTGACCTCCTCCAATTGTGTTCTGCTTGCTAGAACTAGAGTGACTTTGTATGTGGGTTTAGTTTGGCTGATGCTCCCCTGAATTAGAGTTTATTGACACCTTTTAGATCTTATTTAGATCCTAGTTGTTTTTCTTTTCTTTCTTTTGTTACTTTGGTATGATTTATTTAATATGGAGCTGAGCTCTCTTTCTTGGCCCCTTGTTTAACACCATTTAATTTATTCATAAAAGAGAAGGAAAGTTTTGTGTTTGTATAGTCTAATTGAGTTTAATTTTGTAAAAATTGCAGTCTGTCTTCCTTTGGAATTATGAACAAATGAAACTAAATTACTTCAAAGTGAAGCTCTGCATAACCTTGGCTGTGCAAAATAGTCAACTCTAAATGATTTTTAGACTTAAAACTTTTTAATCCGGTAAACTCCATACTTAAGCTATAGATTAGGTTTTTTTCATGATAAGTTGAGGAAGGTGGTGTTCCTATTTTAAAGTGTTGATCTAGACAATTAATATTGGGTTTTGAACTTGACCACCTGTCATGGGAGGTGGTGTTCATGAGAATATGGTTAGGAAGTATTCTATTTATCCAGAGCAGTTTTCTAGAACCATATGCTTTTGTTAAAGAGAATGTGCCTTTTTCATTTTACTAGGAGCAATTATATGAATTGTTTGTTCTTAAACGAAGTACAGATTAAATTTGGAGTTGCTGTTTCCAACCTGTTTAGATTATGACGTTATCAAATGAGATGACATGACAAGAATTATTATTTTCTTTGTGTATTTATTAGTCGTTTGTTTGGTTTGCAGGAACTTGGAGTCAACTGTATAGAATTAATGCCATGTCATGAATTCAATGAGTTGGAGTACTACAGCTACAATTCTGTCTTGGGTGACTATAAGTATGAAATTTCAACCTTTGGTTTAGAGCTATCTTTAGTTACATGCCAGATTTAATCAACTAGTGAATGGTTTTGAAAATTGGTTTTATTATCGCCTTATCGGTGCAATTAAACAAGCTCCTAGCTAACTAATTAGTCATGATAACTTTTTTTATTTCCTCGAAGTTGCCCAGATTGTAGAATACCATCCAATTTGCTAAACTATTTGATGCTGTATTTGACGATGCTAGAATGAATGTTAAATTTGACATTCTCTTAGCTACTGGGTCTATGAATCTCATAAATTCAGTGTCCTATGAATGTATATTAGCTACAATTCTTTCTAGCATCATCCGAACACACCCTTCTTTTAGCACAAAGCGTAAAGAAGGGAAAAAAGGACAAAATGAGCAAGGACCTGGTGCAAATTGTCACTGCAGTCCCTTTCCTGCCTTCAGAGACATAATCGTAAGGTTGATTTATGGGATTTAATAGCTAAGAGACATTCATAGGGCACTGGACTTATTCAGTTGCCAATTTCTTTTGCATTGATTGAACTGTTTGGCATCTTTACTGACAGAGTTAAGTTTGAAAAGTTGTGCGCTGGTTACATGCTGTCTAACTTAAAATTTCACGTTGGCAATTTCTTGTCATACTTACACCCAAGTACCTTCTTTTCAAGGTTGAACTTTTGGGGATATTCAACAATCAATTACTTTTCTCCCATGATAAGGTATTCATCTTCTGGTATTAGTAACTGTGGTCGTGATGCAATTAATGAATTCAAATATCTTATTAAAGAAGCACATAAACGCAGAATTGAGGTCAGATCCGAGCAGATTCTAATTTCAATAAACAATTTCATTTGAGAAAATGTTTTGTTGTTTCTCATTGAATCTGTTTGAGTAGGTTATTATGGATGTCGTTTTCAACCACACAGCTGAAGGCAATGAGAAAGGTCCCATATTGTCATTTAGAGGTGTTGATAACTCTGTCTATTACATGCTAGCACCGAAGGTATAGCTGTTCCGAGACTTTATTATGTATAACACACAGAGACTCATGTTGTACTATTTTCGTTGTATCATATGCCTTGATAGATTAATTAAATCTTAATAGTAGTATTATTGGCATGCTACTCCTTTATTTAGACTAATGATATTACTGTCTACATGTTATGAGAACTTTTAATTTATTTAACTTAAATGATGTCTATTTGTGGCATCTTTGTTAACAATGATGATTAATATTCCTTATGGTGGGGAACTCACTTTATATTGAGCCCATAAAATAGAAGTTTAAGGGCTAAAAAGAGCATTACCCTCGGTCATATTAATCATGCTTGTGAGATTTTCAATAATTGAATTTTCTAGTCTTTTCCGTTGGTGTCATAAGATCTTAATCATAAATAGAGCAGAAACAAGCTTCATCGATGGAATGGTTTTAGATAAATATTGGCTGCAAAAGAGGCTTGGAAGACATACAAATTAACTCAAATAGTGCTGTTGGGTGCTGGTGATGACGATCAATTGAAATAAACCCAAAACTACATCAGTGCGAGTTGCTAGGGAGATATTTACTGCCAGTTGATCCTGCACTTCATGATTTTTCGTTCCTTATTATAATATCATTTCTGGTCAATGACCACTACGACTTCAATCTAATTTTTATTGTTTTACAGGGTGAGTACTATAATTATTCAGGATGTGGAAATACATTCAACTGTAACCATCCTGTGGTGCGTCAATTTATATTAGACTGCTTAAGGTAGATGCTAATCTGTTTTTCTATGCCATGCTTAGTTCCCGGAAAATTTCTTATATGAAAGTCATTACTCTCAAGTGGAAAAGAGAGATAGGAACAAAGATGAGGGATATGTTAAACACTGTTGTAGCCTCTTTTATTTATAGGAATACAAAAGGGCATACACTCTTTTGCATAAGAAATCGATAACACTCCCTCAAAAAGGCTGGTTAATATATTTTATATTCTTCTAGCTTTTTGCAAATATAAAAATCAGTCTTGGAAATTCTGAAGGACTTGTATGCATGTTCACTAACTTGCAGATTTATTAGTGTTTGAGTAATTTCCTTATGTTAAAGTGTGTGTCTAAATGAATCAAAATCAACTTAATTTGTGGTTCATTCAAGAAGGCCTGGATTAGATGCAATACATATCTATATACGTGCTTGTTCGGACAATGGAAATCTATAAGCTCTAAAGTCCAAATCCTTGCTCTTCTATCAATTCTTTTAACCAAACTAGTTCACACATTGTTAGAGTCTTAGCCCTTAGATTCAGTATCCAATCTTGCAACAGCTGTTGTGTTCCTTATTTTTTTCAGAACCCTAACTTTCCACCAACAAATTCAGACTGCAATAGACTTCTGATCATCAAGATGTTTAGCCCAATCATCATTCTTCTAAAGTATATCATTACCTAGGATACCATTAAGATACCTCGAAATAGATTTATCAAAAAAAAAAGATACCTCGAAATAGCAGTACCTTAGGCTACCAATAACTATGCACGTGAACTGCAAGAGAGACATTTGCCTGCTAACTATACTCACAAACCCTTCTTTCTTACAAAAGCTATGGCTCATATTCTTTTACTTGCCTTCTGATTGTTAATTTGTTTGTAACAACTGATCTTCTTGGGTATCCATTGTTACCTGTTCATGCAACAGATATTGGGTGACTGAAATGCATGTAGATGGCTTTCGCTTTGATCTTGCTTCCATTATGACCAGGAGTAGCAGGTTAATCTAAACAAACATCCAGTACACATTTCCTTCTATTTCTGTTGGATTTCTTCTCTTATGTGGTTTTCTTTGTCCTATTCTAACAGTCTCTGGGATTTGGTTAATGTATATGGAGATTGTATTGAAGGTGACTTGATAACAACTGGCACCCCTCTCAGCACTCCCCCATTGATTGACATGTTGAGTAATGATCCTATACTTCGTGGAGTGAAGGTATACATCTTGAATTTGTTTCCTTAATTCCTTTTGTCAACTTGTCCTTTTTACTAGAATAATAATTATTCATCCCTCGTGAAGGTATTTTTGAATCACTTAGGATTTCTTGGTATCATGTCTGGAGTCACGGGGGGAAGATGTCTTAGTATTAGGTAAAATAGCGTCTGGCATTGTTACTTCAAGAAAAATGAAGAGTTGGAGTAACGTTGATACTTGGGGTTTTCTGTTAAGTCTTCCGTAAGTTTTTGACGAGCACATTTCTTATGACTAATTTCACCACAGTAATAGCAGGTTGGTTTATTTTGATTTTTTTATCCATGGCCACCACTCCAACTGAATCCACAGCCACCATCACCCCTTCCACCTTGAGAATTATTATTATGCTGACCACCCCTCTACCTCCACAATTTCCTCTACCATCATCAGTCCAAGTACCTTAGCTCATAAGGGCACTGGTAGAATTAGGAGGAGAAGACGAATATCTCTGAACAAATAACAGCGAGTGAAGATTTCATAGGAGGAAGTTCTTAAACCAGAAAGAAGCCGTGTTCCAGCAGCATCACATTTAGATGGAAAACATGCAATGAAACTCATAACAATCTTCCGTTGACATTGAGATTGTGAGTTTTCACATTAACACTAAAAGGGTGAAGAGACTTTAGCTACTCACACACATTTAAAATCCATAAAATACACAATAAGTCTTTCCTGAGATCTTTTTTGCTTCTCTAAACTGTAAAATCCCTTGCACACATCATATATCCAAGAAAGATTGCCTCTGCTAGAATACAAAAAATTCAAATAATCCACAAGTTATTTAGGTAATTTATAATGATCAACTCAACCAGTTATTTCGTATTCAAGAGAATTTTGACTCTGCAAAATTATCCTTGTATCTTCGAATTTAAATCTGCAAACACTATTTCTGTATCTTTTGTCAACCAAACCCTTTTTTGCTGCATATTCAGGTGGAAATTTATCTGTAGATCTTTTGAAAAAGAAAGTGAGTCAGCATGGTCATAACACAAGCAGAAAGCTTTAGGATGAAGAGGATCGAATAGGCTTTGATACTATATTAAGCCGACCAACCTAAAACCACTTGGCAATAGCTGGAGGGGCCAACTCGAATATAAACTTATAAGAATCCTAAGACTTAAATATGCGTGGGATGATATGCTTAACATTAGCTAAATCTATGAAATAATTTAAGTAGAATGCTTTAGCAAAATGGTCAAACTGCCATTTCTATTCATTTCTTTACATTCTACCTTATATTTCTGAGGCATCTAAACATGTCTCCCCTGCTTCTATTTTCCCTTTTTGTTTTCATTTTTCTGTATTTGTTCTTGACATTACTTAAAAGAAAATCTAACTAAAGTTTTTCGTTCTATTTAGCTTATTGCTGAAGCATGGGATACAGGTGGACTTTATCAAGTTGGCAGATTTCCTCATTGGGGTATTTGGTCAGAATGGAATGGGAAGGTGACTGGAGATCTAATAACACGGATGAATTCAAAATTTATAGCATTGTATTATTCCCTTCTTATTTGTTCTCTGTTAAGGAAAGTTCTCTGTACATACATTTGAGGTTGATTCCTTGCCTCTGTGTGTAAAATGATGCATTTTGTAGTCCAGTGCATGAACTAAACCATTCTCGGTACTTAATTTTCAGATTTAACACTTCATACCTTACTTGGGACCCAATTTTACTGAAATGAAAATTTTAGCTTACCTAAAATCTGGGTCAACACTAGTTTTCTTTTTCCATGTCAAAGCTTTTGTTTTCCTGTCTTTTGGACGAACTGTGATTCTTGGTTGAGCTACGAAAATTGAAGCTTACTTTTTTAGATGCATCTATATTTTATTTTATGGAAGTGGTTCTGTATTTTTATGCATATTCCTTTCCATTTCAGTATCGTGACATAGTACGGCAGTTTATAAAAGGTACAGAGGGGTTTTCTGGAGCTTTTGCTGAATGCCTTTGCGGAAGCCCAAACTTATATCAGGTTGGTCATCTATGATCTGACTCTAGAACACACGTGGCCACCCAACAAGTGGATAGTTATGGTCTCATTATCTTATAGAAGTTTTCCTATGCTTTATATATATAAAGAAACTGTGACATTCAAATAAGAAATTCTCGTTTGAAGATTTTCCTTATGTCATAGAATCCTTTATAGTTATTAGCCATTTCTGGAGCATATCTTATCATACATTCTCACATGTATTTTTGAACTCCAACGTAATCAACTATTTTATTTATATTAATTTCCTTGCATCCTCACTGTGTTTGTGAATCAGGAAGGTGGAAGGAAACCATGGAACAGTGTCAACTTTGTATGTGCGCATGATGGTTTTACTTTGGCCGATCTAGTTTCCTATAATAACAAACACAATATAGCAAACGGGGAAGACAACAATGATGGAGAAAGTCATAACAATAGCTGGAATTGTGGACAGGTAGATATTGGCCGAACTTTAAACTCATGCTTGTATTTGGTTTTACTTAGATGCTTGATGTTGAAGGGTGAGATGAGATCAACAACATCACCAATGAGTGTATGAAATTGGCATGAAGAATAGAATGTGTCTAGCTTGATGGCTTGAATTGAAAACACTAAAGTTGCCTGTTTACTTTGTTGATCAAATCTAATGCTGGAAAAAGATAAGGCATGATTTATTTTTCATAGCTTTGCTCTGCCATTTACCCTCTATCATATACATTAGATACATTCTGTGATGTAACTGACCATATACTGGCCTAGATACTTTATGCACATATCTTGATTTGCATCTTATAAACTAGTATGGTAAGAAGGGAAATATGATAAATAGTTGTTTCTAGTGTTGCCCTTCCATCTTTACTACATACATTGCATCTTGAAATTTTTGTATGAACAGAAACAAGTTTGATTATGGACTATGATGATTCTTTCTTCCACATGCATAGTTCCGATTTCTGAATTCTTTCCCCATTTGTCAATTTTGCAAAATAACAAAAGCAAGTGAAAGATACCATGTTTGGTAGCTCCCAAAAAACAGAAGATTTCATGCAATTTTCTGTTTCAGTACTTTTAATGCAGATCTGACTAAGTTTGGAGCGTAAAGCAATTGACAATTTCTTTGACCAAAAAGGTCCAAAGAGAAACACTTTCTTTTGATGATTTAATTGCATGAAGAAGAAATATAGTTGGTTAATTTAGAGTTCATTGGAAATGTGATTGCGTCTTTGCAAATACAATCATATGGAAATACTTTGGAAACTTCAAAAGAGAACTAAGCTCATTAAAGGTAATTCATTCTGTAGATTTTATATGGTTTGAATCTCTTGTCAAAAACTTTTCTGTAAATGTCATCATCTATATCTGCTACCAATATATTCTATTTACATTTTTAGCTTTGATTGACTTGATTAACTTGTTGACACAATGGTTGCTTAGGAGGGGGAGTTTGCAAGTATTTCTGTGAAGAAACTGAGGAAACGTCAAATGCGGAATTTCTTCCTCTGCCTTATGGTTTCCCAAGTAAGGTTTAATCATTGTTATACACATTGGATTGCTTTGTTGTATGGGACTACTATTACTTGTATTTATGTCTTAAGTGGACACTATAACTAAAGAAAATTAAACTAAGTTTTTCGCAGTTGGCTACTTCCAGTCTTTAACCTGAAATACTTGAACACTTCACTCTTAAATTCACTCTTGCTATGTTTTAGGTGAAATAAAAGAGGGTCCAATAAATTGACCGATGATACTGGACTTTTTAAGTCACCTTTTTGTATGTTCTTTCAGTTTTTAATTGCAAAGTTGAGATGGTAGATGGCAAGTTTGTCGAACATCCTACTTATTTTTTACTTTGTTTTGAATGAATTATTTCTACTGAGGTACTACCTTGTCATTACTAGTTCATCTAGGAAGGAAAATAATTTTATCAATTAAGTTACTGATATCTAACACCATATTCAGGAAATTGTATCACTTACAGACATGTTTTCAAGTGTGCTATGACAACGTAGCTGTGCAAGTTTTCTGTTTGTTGAATTAAATTCAATGGAAGTTGTTCAATATAAAACAAGGATGGTATAATTATACTATTATTTTAAAGGTGAAAAGGGTTTTGTTTTGCAAGGCAAATAGATGGTTTAACTCAAGTACTAAACCAAGATAATATATGGAACCTAGCTTAAACGGAAATGGAAATCGCTCTAGCAAGACATGGCATATATATGATTTGATATAGCTTCTGAATAAAATTGAAGGTCTTGTGTTGATCGTGCATGATCATCTAAACAAAAACGCATGCATTGTGTCTTTAAAGCAGTACAAAGTTGGTTGCAAGACTTGAAACTTGACTTAATTTCAGTTTATTTATTAGGATTGAGCTCGAACCTGGTTTTCAAGCTTGCTACTCTATGTTTGGTTATCACTTTTGTTGTTGGCTATTTGCTATTTAAGTTTTGGGATTTTGTTATGAAATAATCAACCAAACCCCATTATTATTTGTAAATAGATGTTTGAGTGTTTATTTGATTGTAATAACAATGGGGGTTTGGTTGATTATTTAATTTTCGTTCAAGGGCCTTTTCTTAATTTAAATCATTTTAATCTAAGTTGGGAGATAAAAGCTGCCACTTAAAGCTGATATTACCTTTTTCGGGAAATTGCTGTTACTATGACTAACACAGCCTAAATAAATGATAATAAATGCTTTTAGGGTCCCATTTTATAAGTATGATGTAATGATTGGGTCAAACTTTGGAGCCATTTGTTTGTGTTATTTTTGACTCGTGTAACTTGTGACTGAGATATCAGAACTTTTACTAACTATGATCTTCATTTAACCAGGGTGTCCCAATGATTTGCATGGGTGATGAATATGGTCACACTAAAGGAGGAAACAATAACACATATTGCCATGATAATTATGTGATCCTCTATATCCTCGGTCCAAATTTATGTTGACCCTTATTGTACAATTTGTTAACTAGTGCTGCGATACAGATCAACTACTTTCGGTGGGATAAAAAGGAAGAGTCTTCATCAGATCTCTTCAGGTTCTTCTGTCTCATGACCAAGTTCCGCCGGTGAGCACCTTTTTTTGAGAGAACCTTCATAATTCCTTCTTGTTCTGCATTATGATCATTTGATTGTGCTGAAATCATGCAGTGAATGCGAGTCACTTGGCTTAAATGACTTCCCAACAGCACAGAGGTTACAGTGGCATGGTCATACTCCTGGAAAGCCAGATTGGTCTGACACAAGCCGTTTTGTGGCATTCACATTGGTACTTTCTTATAAGACCTTCAATCATATTTGCAATTTTGCACTTTTACTCGGTGGTGTTTGAGCTTTAATTTGCTAGGATAAAGAATATACGATCAGTGTAAGACACAAGTAAGATGATCTCATCTCTAGCTGACTATTTTGACTGGAATTAGGTTACTCCATTTTAGAGCCTCACTTGCTATAGAACCTGTTACTGCATGGGCCAGTTTTAATGAAATGTGATAAAAAGATTTGTAGAAATATAACTAGCTAGAGGACAATTTGATTACTTCATTTTTCTAGGCCATATGCTACATGAGCATGTTAACCTGCATGATTTAACCATAATTGCGTATTACAAGAATATATGTAATTGTATAGAATATGCTGGACATTGTTTTGGGTTTATGCTTAAAATAGGGAAGTTCGGATAAAAGGAGGGGGTCGGGGTTACTAGTCATGTTTTCTGTTACTTCAATGAAATTCTCACTTTGGCCCTTCAATTATTTTTCATTGAGTTTGGGCCCTTCAACTTTCATTCCGTTAGCACCTGTACGTTTTCTGTTTAAAAAAAGCCACATGGTCCAATCAGATTGTCCTGTGACATTTTGGTTAAAAAAACACGTTTAAAGGAGCGCAAGAACTTTATATTTTATGATGTTTTAGCCTATCTCCTTGATTCCCTGGATGCTGTCTTCTGTTGTATTTCCTGGGGGGTGCGATTCCCGCGCATGCTGCAATTGTCTCATTGGAAGTTCATGTAGAACTTTCATCGAATAACACATTTTTAGACCTCTTTTGGACAGAATTGAACATTTATTCTCTACAAGTTTAAGAACACTAATGTGAACCGGAAGATTTCCGTTGGTTAGGTTATAACGAAAGAGTTGCACGGCCTTTGAGTTGCACGGCCTTCAGACCAACTCGTTCAGTGCATTATCACTTCCAGAAACTCGTTGCTTCTATTTTTGTTCCTTAACTGGATCGAGTTTTCTTATTATCAATTGCTTCTCCCAGATTGATTCCGTGAAGGGAGAAATCTATGTTGCTTTCAACACCAGTCATTTACCTGTCACAATTACACTGCCTGAGCGTCCGGGATATAGATGGGAGCCATTGGTGGACACGAGTAAGCCCACACCATTTGATTTCCTATCCAAAGAAGTCCCGGAAAGAGATATTGCCATCAAACAATATGCTCAATTCCTTGATTCCAATCTATACCCTATGCTCAGTTACTCTTCAATTATTCTGCTACTTTCACCTGATGAAAATGCTTAAAAAAATCATATCGATATTTATCTAGCTTAAGCCTGAGACCCCTAAATAAAGTAAATGGTTAGTAGTATATGTATGAAAACAGCATGCTTATTGTAGAAAATCTATGCACCAAACCATGGATATGAAATAAAATTGTTCTCAAATCTGTACAGTATGTTTATAGTCCTAAAGTTTGCAGTAAATAATAGCGCATGTTGATTGAAGTTGCTTACTTTATATAGGTTAAGGTTTGTGCAGATGAGAATTTTGTTGCTTTTTATCTTATAAAATACGTCGGGTAAGGTAAATTAGTCACAATTGTTTACATAATATTGAGATGAAATTTTAGCACTGGCTGTGTTTTTTAATGCAAATTTTGTTGACAAAAAAGGTGAAAATTAGTTTGTAAATTATTATTATTTTATTACTTTGTTCGATACATCTTAGAACACAATCGGTCATAAAGTTTTTGATTCTAAACTTCGAAACCCTTTAAAATAATTGAAAAGGCAATCAACTACTTTTGCATGGTTGAAAATTTATTATCATATTTAGTACTTATATTTTAATAAAATATTTAATATAAATATATATTTTAGAATATTTAATGTGATATATGTACTTTTAAAATTATCCTTTTTTTCATGAGAGAAGTAAAAGGATTTACTTGAAATAAAACCCTAAATTTATCGCCAACTAAAATTAAATAATGTTCATTATTAACAAATCACGTGCTTAATCGATATTTAATTTTCTGAGATAACAAGTTTTTACTAAAATTTTATAAAAGAAATTGAAAACTTAAAAATATATACCTATAGACTCCATTAAGGAGGAGGATTAAAGCAAATTCTCGGGTGTGATAAATCAATAACATTAGCGATTATAATATAAAGTTTCAAATGTTAATAATCATTTCATTTTTGTTTTTATTTTTTCATTCTATAAGGCTAAAAAGGGAAACTCGAGTTCTACTGTTTTTAAGGAAAGAACAACAACAACAACAACAAAACCCAATTCCCATATGCAATGGGGTAAGGGGGAGGTAGGGTAGTAGGCTGCCCCCAACGCCAGGTTGAGAGTAGCTTCCGTGGAAGACCTCCGGCAGTCAGAAAATTAAAAAATATAGATAAGATGCAATGCATGTATAAATAAATACATAAATACGTAGTTGTACAATATTCATCTGCAGTCATTAATATCATTAATGTCATATGCGTGTCTGTAATGGGCAGTAATCTTTGTATATGGACAGAAACGTAAGACCCGACTAAATTCAAAAGTTCAAAAGTGGAGAGAATGATACACAGAATTCAAACGATCGCAATGTCAGTTCTAAGCCTTCAAAAATACCAATAACAGAAACGGATAAAAAGTAGAAGTTATGTAAATTACTACAAAGGCAGTAAAAGAAGACAGAGATGATACACCCTAGAGATGTGACCCACACTACTCGACTATCCTAGTCTTAAGTCTCCATACTTTCCTATCAGAGGTCATGTCCTCGGTAAGGGCTAAATCCATCAAATCAGATCTCAAGCAGTCTTCCCACTTCCGCCTTGGTCGTCCTCTCCTTCTGGCACCGTCGACTGTAATCGACTCTACCCTCCTGACCACATCAGATGGTAGTCGCCTAAGGACATGCCCAAACCACCGTAGTCTTCCTTCCCTCAATTTCTCGGAAACAGGCACCACCCCCAAGGACATCCTAATAGCAGAGTTTGTTGTCATATCCCACAGAGTCCTACCGCATGTCCACCGAAGCATTCTCATTTCTGCGGCCTCTATCCTCCTTACATGAGCCTTCTTGGTTGCCCAACATTCTGATCCATACAATAGTGCTGGTCTTATTGCCATTCTATAAAAATTTCCCTTAAGTTTTAGAGGCACCTTCTTGTCACACAAAACTCCAGTAGCGGCCCTCCACTTTAGCCATCCCGCCTTTATACGGTGTGTAACGTCATCATCTACACCCCCATCTTTATGTATCATAGACCCTAGGTACTTGAAACAATCCTTTGAGGGGAGAACGTGTCCTTCTATGCAAACTTCTACATCGTCTTCGTTTTGGTCCCTACTGAAGTTTGAACATAAATACTCTGTCTTATCAATATTGATCCTTAAACCTTTTTCTTCCAAAGCAGTCTTCCAGGTAGCCAGTCTACTATTCAACTCAGATTTTGTTTCAGCCACTAGGACAATGTCGTCAGCGAAAAGCATACACCATGGTACACCGTCTGGTGTCGCACAAAAGATGTCGTCCATAATCAAGGCGAAGATGTAAGGGCTAAGAGCCGACCCCTGGTGAAGTCCGATTTCCACCGGGAAAGCCTCGGTGTCGCCAACTGTAGTCCTGACGTATGTAGTAGATCTACAATACATATCACGTATCGTCCGGATATAAATAGTTGGGATCCGTCTCGTTTCCAAAGTCTTCCAGATCGTATCGCGGGGAACGCTATCATAAGCCTTCTCAAGGTCAATGAACGCCATGTGAAGATCTCTAGACTTTTCCCTATATTTCTCCATAAGTCGTCGAAGTAGATGAATTGCCTCCGTGGTAGACCTGCCTGGCATAAAGCCAAATTGGTTTTCTGAAACCTTAGTAACTTGTCTCAACCTAGCCTCTATCACTCTTTCCCATAGCTTCATGGTATGGCTGAGTAGTTTAATACCTCTGTAGTTACCACAACGTTGGGGATCTCCTTTATTCTTATAGATTGGTATCACCGTGGACTCTCTCCACTCCTCTGGCATCTTGGCAGTCTCTAAAATAATATTAAAGATGTTGGTCAACCACTTAACTCCCTCTTCTCCTAGGGCCAACCACACAGTGATAGGAATTTGATCAGGACCGACAGCTTTGTCCCTTCCCATCTTTCTAAGAGCCATTTTGACTTCCTCAAACCCAATCCTACTTGTAGGGCAGTCATTGGCCGATGTATGATGGTCGGATGACCCATCAACGGTACTTTCTCTACAGGGAGAGGCACCGTCATTAAATAAATCAAAGAAGTAATTACCCCAAACCCTCTTAATATCATGATCTTTCGCTATAAGAACACCATTGTTGTCCTTAATAAATCTAATGCTACCTAGATCCTTTTTCCTATTCTCCCTAGATTTTGCAAGCCTGAAGATGCCGTTTTGTCCCTCCTTGGTGTCTAATCTCTTGTACATTTCCTCGTATGCCTTATCCTTTGCTTTAGCCACCGTTTTCTTGGCTTCCCACTTTGCCTCCTTGTATCTTTGTTTAGCTCTCGACCTTTCTTCGTCGTCATTGCTTTGTAGAAACTCCTTAAAGCAAGTTTGCTTTGTCTTCACCTTAGTTTGGACTTCGTCGTTCCACCACCACGATTCTTTATGTTCCTTGGCCTTCCCTGTGGACAACCCCAGGGTGTTTTTGCCCACCTCTCTGATGGAATTTGCCATATTTTTCCATAACAAATCTGCATTATTTGAGTTTGTAGTTCCAAAACCTGTATTAGACAAAACCTTACTCCTAAAGTCATCAGCTGTCGCTCCATGTAACTTCTTCCAAAGGATCCTAGGTTTACCCAGTTTAGCTCTCCTATGAGTGTTCCGCCCGTGCGGAACGCGGAACACCAAAACCAACAATTTGTGTTGCGAAGCACATGCCTCTTCAGGGGACACCTTACAGTCAATACAAGCCCATCGATCCCGATTTCGAACCAGGATGTAGTCGATTTGGGTACAATGTCCCCCGCTATGAAACGTAATCAAGTTCGCATCTCTCTTATTAAATAAGGAGTTAGTGATCACCAAATCGTGAGCAGTAGCAAATTCAAGCAACGTACGCCCCTCATCGTTCCTGCTACCATAACCGAAACCCCCATGAACACCGTCATACCCGTCGGTTGCACTACCTATATGGCCATTGAAGTCTCCCCCTATGAAAACTCTTTGGTCCTCCGGAATGCTCCTAAGTACATCATCTAACTGATCCCAGAAGCAACGTTTCTCCCCCTCCCCTAGGCCAACATGTGGGGCGTACACTGAAAGGACATTCACCACTTCCTCTTCTATAATAACCTTAATCATCATGATCCTATCCCGATATCTACAAACTTCAACTACATTTTCCTTGAGCCTAGAGGAAACCAAGATACCCACCCCATTTCTAGCGTTATCTACGCCTGAATACCACAACTTGTACCCATTACACTCTCTGGCGCGAGCCCCTTTCCACCTAGTCTCCTGAATACAAGCAAAATCTATTTTCCTATTATTAAGTGCGTCGGACAGCTCCAGAAGCCTAGCATTTAATGTGCCTACATTCAACGAGCACACTCTAAGTCTAGTCTCCTTGTCACCACTCTGTCGAGCCCTCCCCCTATATGCCCCATGTGCTCTAAAAGAAGGACATGACCTCAAGAAATCATCTATAGTCGAAGCTATGAGAAACTATGAAAAATGAATCCAAAGAAGACAGGAGATGCAAAATATCACAACTCGAGAGAAAGAACAATAAAAACCCAATAAAGGAAATAACGTGTAGACCTAAAATTAATTGAAAATAATTCCAAAAGGAAAGAAAAAAAAAATAAAAAACCCAAATTCAAATCCCAGAAATCAGATCTAATCCAATTCACCAAAACGAAAACCAAATCATACTAGCACTTGAACAAAGAAATATGATTCATTCAACCCAAAAATAATCAGGGGAAAACTAGATCGAGTGAGGAAATTTGGTACCTTTCTCGAGGATTCCAATGGAGGGAATTTGGAAATAACTAGAAAAGGATGTTAAAATCAAACTTACCAGCAGGAAAATCCAAGCTGAAACTGAAAATCCTGTGAGCAAAAGCAGATCCAAGCAGATCCAACAAAACGATGCAGCAGTGTGCGATCCAGCAAAGCGCAACTGGGAGCAGCCGTGAGGATTTGCAGGGCTCATTTTCGGTTATGGTTACAGATCGGAGAGAGACAGATTCGGAGAGAGATAGGAACAAAAACGGAATAACAATCTGGAAAAACTCGATCTGGGACCGTGGATTTGAATGTTCCGAAGACGAATGGGGGAAAGAGAGTTTTGGGAGAGACAATATTGAAAAATCGAGGGATAAAGGAACGAAGCCGAAGTTTGTGGAAGGAGCGAGAAAGTCGATGTCTCCTTTCCCCTTGCTTTGAACACCAAGTTTCTCCGATAAAAAC